TCCCCCCCCCCCCCCCACTCAGGCCCAGACAATTATTTTTTCCTACATAACTGCGGGGCAACCCCCTTCCCGCAAAGAGGGGGGAGAGAGACCCAACTGGGATACGGCAAGGAGAAAGAAAGGCAAGCTGTCACGGATCGGCAACAAAACGGAGGAAGGGAGGGAAGCCCGGCGCTCACCGTCCATGGTCGGAGAGGAGAAGGCGGTCGAGATAGGGGCCAAATGGTCCCCCATGACAGGAAGGAGGAAGTTCAGAAGGGGGGGGAGGCGATAGGAGGATCGGGGCCCAGGTGGGGAACCCTTAATCCCTCCCCCTTCCAGCAACAGGAACGGCCGATCGGAGACCGGGGCGGGCGGAGAGGCAGAGGCGCGCCCGACCCGCGGCGGAACTCTGGCTGCACCGTCTGATTGCCAGGCCAGAGGAAACACCCCGGCCCACGTGACCCGCCGACAGGGGTCTCCCCGCCCCTTCTGAGAAAGCTCCGCCTTGCTCCAAGATTCTGCGCCCTTCCACTGGCCCTCCTCCCCGCCGCTCATGCAAATCTCCCCCCCCCCCCCCCTTTGGTGTCGAAGACGTCACGGGAAGAACCCGCGGCCATACGAGTTGCGAACTTGCGACCGAGCGCCCACTTGAGCCACTAGGGGGTTTGAGTATGCATGTAGCTACGGTAGTTACTTCATTTATAGAAGAAAGTTTGAGTCCATTGAAGTGGGCGTGCTCACGAAAGCTGGTTACCCAGGAAACATTTTTTGTTGGTCTTAAAGATGCCACTCGACTCAAACTTCGTTTTGCTGCTTCAGACCAACACGGCTATCCCACCTGCATCTTCTTGCTGTTGTTCAGTCACACAGTCGAGTCCGACTCTTCGCGACCCCATGGACCAGATCACGCCAGGCCTTCCTGCCTTCATCGTTGCATCGATGACACTGTCTAACCATCTCATCCTTTGCCGTCCCCGTCTTCTTTGACCTTCAGTCTTTCCCAGCATCAGGGTCTTCTCCAGTGAGTGCTTCCTTCTCATTTGATGGCCAAAGTATTTGAGCTTCAGTTTCATTATCTGGCCTTCCAAGGAACAGTCAGGGTTGATTTCTTTTAGGATTGACTGATTAGATCTTCTTGCAGTCCAAGGGACTCTCAGGAGTCTTCTCCAGCACCATAGTTCAAAAGAATCTATTCTTCGGAGCTCGGCCTTCCTTATAGTCCAACTCTCGCAGCCATACATGACAACTGGGAATACCATTGCTTTGACCATGCGGACTTTTGTTGGCAGGGTGATGTCTCTACTTTTTATCATGCTGTTTAGGTTCGCCATCGCTTTCCTCCCAAGGAGCAGGCGTCTTTTAATTTCATGGCTGCTGTCACAGTCTGTGGTGATCTGGGATCCCAGGAACGTGAAGTCTGTCACTACTTCCACAACTTCCCCTTCTATTTGCCAAGGAGTGATGGGGCCGGATGCCATGATCTTAGTTTTTTTGATGTTGAGCTTCAAGCCCACTTTTGCGCTCTCCTCTTTTACCCTGAGCAAGAGGCTCTTTAGGTCCTCTTCACTTTCTGCCATTAGAGTGGTATCGTCTGCATATCTGAGGTTGTTGATCTTTTCCCCAGCAATCTTAATTCCCGCTTGTGATTCATCCAGGCCAGCATTTCGCATGATGTACTCTGCATATATATTAAATAAGCAAGGCGACAATATACATCCTTGTCGTACTCCTTTTCCTATGCTAAACCAATCAGTTGTTCCATATCCAGTTCTAACTGTTGCTTCTTGACCCTTATACAGGTTTCTCAAGAGACATGTGAGGTGGTCTGGTACTCCCATCTCTTTAAGGACCTGCCATAGTTTGTTGTGATCCACACAGTCAAAGGCTTTAGCATAGTCAATGAAGCAGAAGTAGATATTTTTCTGGTACTCTCTTGCTTTCTCCATAATCCAGCGAATGTTGGCAATTTGATCTCTAGTTCCTCTACCTCTTCGAAACCCAGCTTGTACTTCTGGCAGTTCTCTATCCACGTACTGTTGAAGCCTAGCTTGTAGGATCTTGAGCATGACCTTGCTAGCGTGTGATATGAGTGCAATTGTGCGATAGTTTGAACATTCCTTGGCATTGCCCTTCTTTGGGATTGGAATGTATACTGATCTTTTCCAATCCTGTGGCCACTGTTGCGTTTTCCAAATTTGCTGGCAAATGGAGTGCAGAACTTTAACAGCATCATCTTCTAAGACTTTGAATAGCTCAGCTGGAATACCATCACCTCCACTAGCTTTGTTGTTAGTAATGCTTTCTAAGGCCCATTTAACTTCACATTCCAGGATGTCTGGCTCGAGGTCAGTGATTATACCGTCGTGGTTGTCAAGGACATCGAGGTCTTTCTTGTATAGTTCTTCTGTGTATTCTTGCCATCTTTTCCTAATCTCTTCTGCTTCTGTTAGGTCCCTACCGTTTTTGTCCTTTATCATGGCCAGCTTTGCATGGAACGCTCCCTTGATTTCTCCAATTTTCTTGAAGAGATCTCTAGTCCTTCCCATTCTATTGTTTTCTTCTATTACTTTGCACTGTTCATTCAGGAAGGCCTCCTTATCTCTCCTTGCTGTTCTCTGGAAATCTGCGTTCAGTTGGGTAAATCTTTCCTTTTCGCCTTTGCCTTTCGCTTTCCTTCTTTCCTCTGCTATTTGTAAAGCCTCATCAGAAAGCCACTTTGCTTTCTTACATTTCTTTTTCTTTGGGATGGTGGTGATTGCTGCTTCCTGTACAATGTCACGAACCTCTGTCCATAGTTCTTCAGGCACTCTATCTATCAAATCCAGACCCTTGAATCTATTCTTCACCTCTACTGTATATTCATCAGGGATGCGATCTAGGTCAAACCTGAATGGCCTCGTGGTTTTCCCAATTTTCTTCAGTTTAAGTCTGAATTTTGCAATGAGTAGCTCATGATCTGAACCACAGTCAGCTCCAGGTCTTGTTTTTACTGACTGGATAGAGCTTCTCCATCTTTGACTGCAAATTATATAGTCAATCTGATTTCGGTGTTGCCCATCTGGTGATGTCCATGTGTAGAGTCGCCTCTTAGGTTGTTGGAAAAGGGTGTTCGCTATGACCAGTGTGTTCTCTTGACAAAACTCTGTTGTTGAATGGTTTGCCTTGGAATTGGACCAAAATCATTCTGTCATTTTTGAGATTGTATCCCAGTACTGACTTTTGCACTCTCTTGTTGACTATAAAGGCCACACCATTTTTTCTATGGGCTTCCTGGCCACAGTAGTAGATATAATGGTCTTCTGAGTTAAATTTGCCCATTCCTGTCCACTTTAGTTCACTGATTCCTAAGATATCGATGTTCAGTCTTGCCATCTCATTTTTGACCACGTCAAGCTTACCTTGATTCATAGATCTTACATTCCAGGTTCCTATGCAGTATTGTTCTTTGCAGCATCGGACTTTCCTTTCACCATCAGACACATCCACAACTGAGCGTCCTTTTGGCTTTGACCCAGCCGCTTCACTCTTTCTGGGGTTACTTGTACTTGCCCTCTGCTCTTCCTCAGTGGCATATTGGACACCTTCCGACCTGAGGGGCTCATCTTCTGGCATCATATCTTTTAGCCTTTTGATACTGACCATGGGGTTTTCTTGGCAAAAATACTGGAGTGGGTTGCCATTTCCTTCTCCAGGGGATCACGCCTGGTCTGAGTTCTCTGCTGTGGCCTGTCCATCTTGGGTGGCCCTCCACGGCATAGCCCACAGCCTCATCGAACCACGCAAGCCCCCTCGCCACGACAAGGCAGTGATCCATGAGGGGGACCTGCATCTACTTTATTTATACTCAGACTTTCTCCCCAAGCAGGACCCAACGCAGATTACATCATTTACCTCTCCTCTGTTTTATTCTCACAACAACCCTGTAAAGTAGGTTAGGCTGACAGCCTGTAACTGACCCAAAGTCACCCCGCAATTTTCCATAACAGAGTGGGCATTCGAAAACGGAGAAAAAGTTTTTTTTCCGCCTAGTCTGAAACTGGAATTGCTGCTATAATAAATAAAGAAAATAGTATATCAGTATCTAAAACTCGGCTGGTATAGCATAGTACAGAAGTCCCCAATGTGCCTGTCGACACCTTTTCTGGCGCCCGCTAATTGTTTTTAGGAAGTGGGTAGGGCAAGGTAAGACTTTTGCGCAATAAGACTTCTGATTGACTATAAGAGATTGGCTGTGCAGTTTTTTAAAAAAATATTGCTGCAGCAGCAGCTGTCATCACAGCGCCAGGACGACACTGTGCTACTGCAGTTAAGCTGTGGCAATCATTGTGTGGCTTGCTCCGCCTCGTAGGGCAACCATTTTGCTGCCATGCCCACCATATTGTGTCAGAATTCCAAATGTGCCCTGCAGGCTCAAAAAGGTTGGGGACCCCGGCATAGTCGTTATGCTAACTAGGGATGCAGTTATAAACAGGCAAACAGCCTTCTAAATCCATCCAAGATTATAGGCTTCAAAGGGTATTCGAAGGACTGCAGCGGGAGCTACGAAACTCCCTGTAAGAGTTTGAGTCACCTCTGCCTTCAGTAGCTCCCAGGGAGCATAGGGATGCCAGCCTCCAGGTGGGGATCCCCTGGAATTACAGGTCATCTCCAGACTACAGAGTTCAGTTTCCCTGGAGAAAATGGCTGATTTGGAGGGTAAACTCTGTGGCATTATACCTCACTGAGGTCCACCGCCCCCCAGCTGAGCGCAGACTATCCACAAATTGCCAGTTTTCCAACCTGGATCTGGCAGCCCTACACCCCAATCCGCTGCTAGTGGCCAGGGGCCATTCTTTCCACTTCACCCTGCAAACCACAGTAATACTGAGTTTCCTTCCTTGGTTTGTTGTTGTGAGGATTAGTTATACATAAGGTGCATTCTGAATCGCACTGTATATTGAGTATTTGATTAAAATTTATTTGCCTTTCTCATAGAGACTCAATGCAAGTCAATGCAATTAGTAGGACAAGACATCTAATAAGTTATGGGGGGACTTTAAGAAATTAATTACAAACATTTTCTACATCCTATATATTTAAGTTACTAATGTAACTTTAGTTGGCAATAAAATTGAATTTCATTTCTTTTATGTCCTTCATTTATATCCCAACTTTCTTCCCTAGTTCTCCTTTCTCTTATTTAATTCCCACAGCAACCCTGTGAGGTAGGCTAGTGCAGCTGAAAATGTGATTGACTCAAGGTCACCCAGCAAGTTTTCATGGCAGAGTAGGAATTCAAACCTGGGTCTTTGAGATTCTAGTCTTTATTTATTTATTTATTTATTTATTCGGGTATTTCTACCCCGCCCTACCCCGCGAACGGGCTCAGGGCGGCTTACAGAGGCCTAAGCCATACATAAAATTCAATAAAATCACAATCACAACCAATAACATAACATTAATAATAACAGTGTGCTATAATTCCAAGACACTCTAGCCACACTCTAGACACTCTAGTCTGACACTCTAGCCACAACACCACACTAGCTCTCTTTAGATTGCTCAGTGTGCTGCAGGCAGAATAATGAAGATGAGGCTCTGTGCATGCGCAGAGTATCAGTTATTGCCTATGAGGTTCTCATCGTTTCAAAGGTGTGAGTGGAAAAGAACTGAGGTTTCAGACCAGCATCAGTCCTGAGCAGAGTTGAAGAAAGGAAACAGTGACTCTGTGTAATCTGAGATTTGCTTTCTCGCCTTCCTTTTGGGATATCTTTGGCAGCTGAAAACTCAGCAGGTACAAGGGAGCTGATCTGTATTTGAATAGGGTAGTATCCAATCATAAATAGATAACACGTGTAAATAAAGCGCAACAAAAAGGGCCAACATCCGGGTTATTTAAATGAGGCGTATCACGTGACAAGGAGCGCGGACGCCGTGTGACAGTTACGTCGGTTTTTTCGCTGTCACGTGACAGATGTTCGGCTTTCACCGTCGAGAGGGCGCTTCCTTTTTTTTTTTATAGTCTGATTTTCCTCTTCGGCTGACACAGGAAGTGGCTCTCGTTGTCTTGGAAGAGATTCATGTAGACGCCGGAAGAGAAGGCCGGGGCCAACGGCGAGGGTCCAAGATGGCGGAGGTGGTGAGTGGGGAGCCACGAAAGGGATGGGTGTAGGGGGCCCGTCGGAGCATGACCCACCATCTTTCCTTTGTCTTCTCTGCAGGAGGAGGTAACCGAAGGCTGCCGTCTCCCTGTGCTGCGCCGTAACCAAGACAATGAGGACGAGTGGCGTGAGTAAGGGGTGGGGCCAAACCCGAAGAATGGGCGGGGACAGACGGGGAGGGGAGGAGCTGTTGTGGCTCTCGCCAGATTGCCTTTATATTTGGGTACTTTTAGTGTTCGATCCGCGCCACCCCCCGCGTTATCTCAGTGGCCTTTGCAACAGTCCGGTAAACTAGACGAGTATTATCATTTCCCCATTACAGATGAGATGCAAGGAAATAGGGAGAGGCTTGGATAAGGCGCCCTCACGAGTCAATTTGCTGCAGAAGTTAAAATTTGAATCGGGGATCTATTGGACCCAGCCCCGTTGCTTTAGCCACCGTTCTACCAAGGCATAAGAGGTGTCAAGCTGGATAAGACCAGTGGTCCATCTAGCCCATCATCCTGTTTCACAGAGCACCTGACTAGTTGCCAAAGCATTTCTCTTGTTTCCTTGTAGTGCTGGTCTTAAGAGGTTTACTGTCTTAGTGTGGAGATTCTCATTGGTTCTCACAGCTATTGAAACTGTTCTCCATGAGTCTGTGAAATCCCCCATTAAAGCCATTCATGGTTGTGGCTATTACTTCTATATACTGTGAATGAATTCAGCTATTTTAATTGAGAGGAAAAGTTCTTCCTTTGGTCTGCCCTGAATCTATTGCCTATCAACTTCACTTCATGCCCAGGGTTCTAGTATTATGAGAGAGTAGAAAAATTTTGTCCACTTTCTGGGCACTGTGCATAATTTCAGAAATCTCTATCATACCTCTTCCCATTGTTTTTTTTCTAAACCAGAGAGCCGCAGACGTCTTAGTTCTTCATCATTGGAAAGGTGTCCTCACACCTTAATTTTATTTCCATTGTTCTGCACTGTTTCTAAAGCAGTGGCTCTTGTTTTTTAGTGTATTGGTTTAAATATTTATATCTCACTTATTTTGGCTAAGATGCTGGGGAAGGGGAGTCCGTAGGCTTCTTGAGATAGGTCTATGTTGGGGCAAGACAGAAATGTGAGTCACAGTGTGTTGGAGCTGAGTTCCAAAGCTGCTACTGTGATGCTTCTGGGAGGAGGACCATTGACAATACAAATCAGAGCTGGGGCCTATTTACAGCATTGTAACATCCTTTCTAGTCCAACAAGATAAAGTAGAGGGAGACAGTAAAATCCTCTGCCACCGCAAGCAAGCAAGCTGGTCTTAATATTCCCATTTTAGAGCAGCTCGCACACTTTGCCACATGGCTGAGTAGGGCTTTGAACCTGTCTCGAAAAAGCATCTGAGCACACCATTATGCATGATTCACTATGGCAACCACAATAAGAGTTGCTTTCAGAGCCCTTTCCATTCTGGGATTATCAGTAGAATGATAAGAGCCTGTAAGAGCCTTTTTCTGCTTTTTGTAAGCAAGAGCCTTGCCTTCCTTCTGTCCATATTGACTCCTCTTTCAGCTTCCCCTAACATAACTTTGTTTTTCTCCCTTCTACAGCACTGGCTGAAATCCTAAGTGTCAAGGACATCAGTGGTCGGAAATTGTTCTACGTTCACTACATTGATTGTGAGTAGGCAACTGGGATAGGTTGTAGAATGAATTAAAAATGAATATATGTTGTCCTCCCTATCCCCTTTGAACATTGTTAGTCCCCTGTCTAATGTGTAACTGTACATCGCTTTGAGCCCACTGAGGAAAGTGATTAATAAATTGAAATTATTATTATTATTATTATTATTATTATTATTATATTAGAAGGCTGTTCTAGAATAAGCTGTGAAAGTGAAGATTTATAGTGTCATAATGAGGAGTTACATCTTTCTGAAACCATTGAAGTTAGTGGGCTTCGGAGGACATAACTCTGCTTGGCATGGCAGTGTTAATATGGTCAGTGTTGTGTGATTGAGAGTAGGAGAGGAGCTGTATGATGAAATGGTCCAGCCAGATCACCAGAGGCTCTGCGGCTTACGGTGGTAACTGGCATCCTAGTTAAGAGACTGCAAATCTGCTCACGATGGCAAGCATCCCTCTCATCTCTGAGCATGATGAGCTCTAGCTGTTCTCGTGACCTTAATGCTCCATGCTGAGGATGGGAGCAAATGCTTGGCATTGTTGCAATGTACTTCGGAGGCTATCCAAGCACCCCCAAACTGTCTCTGTGTCTAGCAAAATACAGACAAGCTGCAGCCCATTTCCTGGGGATAGTTGAGACTGGCCCTGACTTTGTACTGCATGTTTGACTACTCAGAAGATTTCTGAAGCACAAAACCAGGGATGGGTACAGTCCTGGTAACAGCACATTTTTTCTTGGCTGCGAAGCCCAAGAAAAATTGTGGACTCTTGGTGCCATGTTTTCATGTGTGTGTATAAAGAAATACAGTGATCAGTAACAGATAAATAGCAACCATTGTGAACAGGTTAAATGGGGTGGGGAGGGAGAGGTTCAGTAGGGCAGTTGGAAAGACTTGGTGGACTCATTGCAAATTGTCTGTTAACAAACAGGGCCCTGGAAGATTTTCTGACTTGTTATCACATGCTTTTGTAAAACCAGGAAAAAGATATACGTTGTCTTAACTCTACAGTTAACAAACGTCTGGATGAATGGGTGACCCATGATCGGCTGGACCTGAAGAAGATCCAGTTCCCAAAAAAAGAGGCCAAGACCCCCACCAAGAATGGGCTGCCAGGATCCAGACCCAGCTCTCCAGAACGTGATGTGGTATGATGGGCTGCGGGCTCAGGGGGAGGGAGGGATGCCTTGAAAGGATGGGTGGGTGGGCTGTTGATATAGACTTGGGGGAGAGAGTGCTCATCCCTACCCCTAGCTCCTTGGCCATTTTTGGACCAAAGACAGAGACTTCCATGCCATAAGAATGGGGCCTTCAGAAGCATTGGTGGTTTTCTTCTGGTCTTGGCCCATGTGCTCTCTCTTGCTGCCTCGCCTGCAGCATGTGGGGATGGTGACCCCCGCATAGTCCCCCCAGAGTGGCAGCACTGCCTCTTCCCCATGTATTGATAACACCCATCTTCCTCCCTACTCAGAGGAAGACCTTGGATCTGTCTCTACAACCAGCCGCAACTCCATCCAGCGGTAAAACCCTGCCCATCCCGGTGCAGATAACCCTCCGTTTTAACCTACCTAAAGAGAGGGAGGCCGTCCCCGGCTCGCCCGACCAACCCCTCTCCTCCAGCTCCTGCGTCCAACCAAACCATCGTTCAACGGTACGAACCGGCGCTCGGCCGCCCCGGCTCGCTCTTTTTGTGTCTTTGTCTACCCGGCACGTTCTCAACAGGCCGCACCAGCTGGGCGGGGTTGGGCTAGGTCTGGGCTGGCAAGGGAGGCCTCCAGGGAAAGCCCAGGGGCATCATAGCCTTCACCTTGAGGGCATTCTATTTCCTCCCATGTCAAACCATAGCTGTGCAGGGCTTGCCCCGTAGAACAAAAAATTCAGAACCCACTAAACCTCGTGTGGCATGCACCGTACACATTTCCACACGTGCTCTTATTTAAAGCACCACATGGCTTATTAACATATTGCTCAAACTGTGCTATGGATGCAACCTGAGATACAAAGTCTGTAACCGACCGTTGAGCAGCTTAGATTATTGTTGTTTTGCTGCATTTTATTGAATGGCTTACATATTTCACCCTGTTTGAAATCAGTGTAACTGCCATGGTTTCCCACAAGGAATCCTTTGGCACTGTGATTTTCTGTTGTGCAAAGAATTCCTCATTGGAATTCTTTTTACAGAGTTGCAGCCGTCAAGATTCCTTGACTAAGAGCCGTGACCATTAAGCAAGTTAGAAACTGATCAGCATTTGTAGTGTAGATATGCCACAGATTTTTGCAGTGAGTTGGCCAGCAGTTTTTGCCCAAAGGGGAGGGATCTTGTCTTCAGGCAGCATAGGGTTGGGGGGTGAACAGCCCTGGTCTTTCTCTGGACTCCAGCTATTCCTACATGAACCTGAATAAATATTCTCTGGCCCTGCATTGTGAAGAGTCACTGTATCCTTGTTTAAACAGCCCCCAATATCAGAGGAGAAAAAGCCACCTACAAAGCTAAAGACACCGACTGTTGCAAAAAAATCTGTTAGATACAGGAGTAGGACAAAAATGCAGCTCCAGTTCCTTTTCAAGGTGCTTAGCAAGAGGTTGCTATATAGATGGGGCCTCAGTTTCCAAGAGGAGAGGCTAGTGAGATCCCTACATAAACCTGTCCCCTTGTATGACACGGCTTGTTGCCAGTCCCCCCTCACTCCAGTGGTAGTTGTGGGGGGGGAATCTCTGCATGGCCAACCCCAGCAGCAACCATGTCTTGCCCCTAGTTGTCATTGCCTTGACCTCTTGGATATATTGCAGTTGGGATGAGGGCGGGAAGAGATGAGGGAGGAGGGGACATTGGGGAGGGGGAGGGGCAGTGCCAAAGAACCGGTTTTACTTTGGTCTCTTCCAGAAACGGAAGGTGGAGGTGGTTTCTCCAGCAACGCCTATCCCTGCTCCAACAGAGACTACGCAGGCATCCGTGTTTCCCCAGGTAAGCTGCCACACATGCTCCATAGAAGCTAGCGTTTGGCTGCATGTTTGGGCCTGGGTTAGGAATTGCGTCTGTGAGCAAGGGCCTGGCAAGAGCAAGGGGCAACAGAGATTGGAACTGGGTCACATTTGTAAAAGCAAGTAATGGCAAAATCCTTTTGTGGGGGACCATGATGGTGTGGGCGGGGGCGCCATGGATAGTAACGGTAAGCCCATTTCTTGACATGGGTTTTGCTCATGCTCAGGGTCTTCCCGATACCATATTTGGGGGCAGAAGAGAGCTTCTCAGGTCAGATTAATTAGGGCCCTAGAGTGTGGGGGGTTGCTTTCTTCTGTATCTGGCAACTTCACTTGTTTGGTGAGCCATCTGGAGCTAGTTGTTCACTTAGCACCTTTCTAGGGCTGGCCTGCTCCAGCATTTGCAGTGCATCTGGACATGGATACGAGGCTGCTGGACGGAGGGGGCAGTCTTCCTTGGCACACAGAAAGCACCATGTGCTCTTAGAGATCCCTTCTGACGTGACTTCTGGATGAGCAGGGGAAAGGCAGTGGGAGAGCTTCCAGCTGAGACCTCCTCTGAAGTGGTTTTTCTGCCTCTGATGCCTTCCTTGGCCCTCTGTTTCCCAGAATGGTTCTGCCCGCCGAGCAGTGCCAGCCCAGCCAGGCAGGAAGAGGAAGTCCAATTGCCTCGGCACGGACGAGGTGAGTGCCGGGGCTTCCGACTCTGCCCACCTGCTCTGCCAGGTGTCCCGGGCTGGAAGAAAGCAGCTCTTTTTCGGTTGTGAAAAATATCTCCCCACTTGTGAGCAGGACTCGCAGGACAGCTCGGACGGCATCCCCTCCGCCCCACGCATGACAGGCAGCTTGGTATCGGATCGCAGTCATGATGACATCATCACGCGCATGAAAAACATTGAGTGCATTGAGCTTGGCCGACACCGGTTGAAGCCTTGGTACTTCTCACCATACCCACAGGAACTCACCACCCTGCCTGTCCTCTACCTGTGCGAGTTCTGCCTGAAGTATGTCAAGAGTCTCAAATGTCTCCAAAGGCACCTGGTACGTACAGCTTCCACCGTCCTCCGATGGGCTGTACATGGGGTGGGAGGAATGTATGGAACATTTCTTTCTTGCTAGGGGCACGTCTGCATTGCAAACAGTGTGTCCTTCTAAGCTGAGTTAGTGTCAGTTAGCTCACAGTTTTTTTAGCCTCCGGCTCACACATTTTTGTCTTGGCTCAGGAAGGATGGGGCTCCAGAGCAAACTTAAGTGATGCAGAAGCCAAATTGCTCACTCACAACTTTAATGCCAGTAGCTCACAAAGTAGATTTTTTTGCCCACTAGACTCCACAGCTTAGAGGGAGCATTGATTGCAAATGGTAACCAACTAAACTGTCATGACTCCTCCCCCTGCCAACATTTCTCAATATTTCCTCCAAGACATTGTTCATGTGAACAGTTATCCTGGAATAACAACACCAATTCTGGATGGCCTGTGCTTTAGCTGGGCCCGGGGGAGGGGGGGGACAGATACTCCCAGCATTGCTCGGAGGCCGTGGGCACCCCCCCTCAGTGTGATGTCACCACTCCCTCTCCTCTGTATTGGCCACCAAAGAGATTTTCCAGTAACAAGCAAAAAGACTTGCGACATCACCTCTTGTTTTTAAACACTATTTATTTATGATTATGGTAGCACGTTGTAAAGAACATAAATAAAATAGTTAAAGAAGGACCAGTAAAAATAACAAGTGGCGTTCTAAAACAGGTATACTTGGATTGGTGAATACATCGTTTTATCTGATCCCATTGAGAAGGATTTCCAGGCAGCTGGAAGGGATGCCTTTGGGGGGGGGGGCATTAAAAAGTAAGGACAGGTGGTGGATCTCTGCTTGAACTTGTTTCCTCCTAAGTTTGAACACCCAGAAGAGTATCTGTTGTGGGAAACATGGCCATTTTCTGTCTGAGTTCTGTGATACTCAGGTGCTCGGCTATTCCTGAGTCTACTTAAAGCTGCCTCGTTGCACTACCTGATCTAGTAAACAGGGAGAGGATTGCAGTCCCCTTTCAGACTGCAGTACGAGGCAGATGATCATATTAATTAACCTTGGATTTGGAATCCCAGATGTCCCATGGGCTCTTTGGGTGGCTGTGTTCACAGTCTGCAGCTTTCACCTCTTTGTTCTTTGATGTATTTCTTTTGCGTGTTAAGAGAATTCCCCCCCACCCCCAAGCTGCTTCTTACAATCACAAGGAGCCAGAAAGCCCATCTAGGTTACAGTTTGTTGCAGTCAGAGACTAGGCACATCACAAAAAGCAAGTGAAGAAAGTGATGTGCCAGGGGGAGTCTCTGCAGCCAGTTGAACCGGCAGGAAAGGTCTGTGTTGCCCTCTAATATGGCAAGTTACCCCTCCTAGTTGGGCCAAGAAATAAGCTGCCAGTTTTGAAAGATCACATGGCCAGAGATCTCTTTCAGGACAACTCAGCTTGCAATTCTTTTGTTTGCAGACAAAATGTGACCTGCGGCATCCGCCCGGGAACGAAATCTACCGCAAGGGGACCATCTCCTTCTTTGAGATCGATGGGCGGAAGAACAAAGTAAGCATGGAATGGGCAGGGGTGGAACTGAGAGGTGGGGATCTTCAGATTCCAAAAACCTGATTCCATATGAGATGGAGGGGAAATGACTTGATGGTGGCTGGTGGCAAATATGAGGCTGGTTATCACCCATTCCCTTCCCACACTCTTAGCTCCCTGTCCACATGGAGCTTGTTCTACTTTCAAGCCAACTGGCATTCAAACTTCTGATCCATAGAGGATTCCACCCCCACCCCGTTTTGTGGAATTTCTACTTGGTGTATGCCCTGACCAGCCTTGGTTAGTATTTGGAAGGGCAACCTCCAAGGAATACCAGGGCTGCAGTGCAGAGACAGGCAATGGCAAACCACCTCTGAAACATCTCTTGCCTTAAAAACAGGTCTAGCTCACCACCTGGTAGTGCATAATGCTAAAAGAGCTAGAACTTCTGGCTACCAGACAGTCATAGGATCTCCTGGCTATTCTACACACAATGCCATACGATAATTAATTATTTTACTTGCTGTATATTGAGAAAGTCATTCTTCAGAACTGGGGGAAAATACATGGATCCCTATGAGCCTGCCTTGGATTCCTAAGCACTGTGCATTGTAGAAAACTGAGAAAACGTTTAGTCTTGAATTTGAAATGGCCTAGGATTTCTTCAGCCCAGTTTGTTGCCACCGGTAATGGATCCTGAGTGTACCTTCCACACGGATGGTCACTTTTTTTTCATGGCTCTTCCCCTTTCTGTCTTCTTGCAGAGCTATTCTCAGAATCTCTGTCTGCTTGCAAAATGCTTCCTGGACCACAAGACCCTCTACTATGACACAGACCCTTTTCTCTTTTACGTCATGACAGAGTATGACAGCAAGGGCTTCCACATCGTTGGCTACTTCTCCAAGGTAACATTCAAAGGGATCGTTGGAACAATGGGAGCCTGCTCCTATGTGATTTTAGGAACTGTAGTTCTTCCCAACTTCCCAGTTCCTTCTCTGCAGGGGAGAAGCAGGAATAAAAGTCTAGACGTAGCATTAAGAATGCAAACAAAACAAGGGATGTGGCGGGGAAGAAGGCAGGAAGTATATGGGGGGGAGGCTGTTGCAGAAAGGTTCATTACTCATGGATCATGACTCAGCACACTAGATCCCCTTCTGCCTAGCTTAGTTCATATCTGGCTTTGCAGATGTTTCACCAGACAGTGCCGTTTTTTCCTCAAGTCCTTTCTTGTAGCTGATGCAGCTACAAACTTGTAAAGCTGGAGGCCTGGCTTTGGTAAATTCTGCATCAGATTTGAGTGTTCAGATGCCTTGTATGGACTCTTCCCTAGCCATAATCAAACCTGAGCTGCTGCTGTCGGACAAGGAGAGATAGGTTGTTTGTAACCGATGGGGGAATGACCAGGTATCCTGGGGGAGGGTATGGAACAACTCAGTCAGGAATTTTTTTTAGCAAAACTGCTTCTTCACCACTATGTAGGAAAAGGAATCCACAGAGGACTACAATGTTGCCTGTATCCTGACTTTGCCCCCCTACCAGAGACGAGGCTACGGCAAATTGCTGATTGAATTCAGTAAGTTGAAGCTTTCCTTTACCAGGTTGTATGGTAAGCACTTGTTACACCCCCTTCCCCCAGTGCATTGGTAATTTTTCTGTGTTAGCCCATAACTGGATCTGACATCCCTAAGAGGGTAAAAGTGGCCATTTCCTCCCATCGTGCTGCTGAGAAATGCCCTCTGTGAACCAGGTTCAAAGCATCAAGCACACAGAGCACACTCGAGACTGCCCCACAACACCTTCGTCTTGGGGATCCGCTGAAGCCCAGTCCTGATCATCTTTTCAGATCTGTTGCTTTTTCTTTTTTTTTTTGTTCCTCTCCTGCTTAGGTTGGCTTTTAGCATTTAGATTTAGCATTAGCTTATACAAAAGGATTTGTTTCATATATTGCTGTGAGCAGTGTTGTGGTGATATGTAAAATAGCAGACCGGTTAGACATAGACCCTTGATGGGGGACAGTGGCTGCTGATGTGCAACTGAACAGAGCAAAAACCCTGCTTGCTCCAAGTATTGGTGTTATCCTCTTTATAGGGAACACCTGATTACTATGAAAAGCCTTATTTTAGACTGCATCTAGTCTATAGAATAAGCCTCTTCAGTTTCATAAAGTCTTCAGCAGTTCTCCCAAGGTGCTGACTCCCAGTTATTTTCCCAGACAGTTTTCCCCACTTCTTCCACAAACTGTCTCTCCATGATGTATTTTCATTTTTATGACCACTGGCTGCTACTAATTTCTATCAAGCTGGATGTTAGAGTGCTTCCTCACCATTATTTTAGTCAAGTCTTGAGACTTACAAACAGACCCCCCCCCTTATATACAATCAATGTCTTTTTACTGAATTTCATAGTAAACACGTTTAAATGGAATTGCTCTCCTCTCTCCCTACCAAGGCTATGAGTTATCCAAGGTGGAAGGGAAGACGGGAACACCAGAAAAGCCCTTGTCAGACTTGGGGCTCTTGTCTTACCGGAGCTACTGGTCCCAGACCATTCTCGAAATCCTCATGAATCTCAAATCAGAGACTGGGGAGCGTCCACAGATCACTATCAAGTGAGTGCCCAAAAGGAGAGTATTGGAGGGGCTGTAGTGGTCTAGGGCTTGAAGAGTTACTGGGAAATGGCCAACATGCCCCATTCTTCATCCCAGTGCATCCTGGGATGGTAACACTGGCTTATCAGTGTTCTTCATCTCCTTTCTAGTGAAATCAGTGAAATCACAAGCATCAAGAAGGAAGATGTAATTTCTACATTACAGTACCTCAACCTTATCAACTACTACAAGGTACTGGCCGCTAGATTGACCATTATGCAAAACCCTCCATATAGAGATGGGGCCTGAGCCCTATCAAAACAATTGCTGTGGCTTTGTCATTAAGAACATAAGAGAAGCCAATGTTGGATCAGGCCAATGGCCCATCCAGTCCAACACTGTGTCACACAGTGGCCAAAACCCAGGTGGGAGGTCCACCAGCAGGGCTACAAAGTCCTCTCCGTGTGCCTGTTTTGGACTCCTGCTTGGGGGAGGGGGTCTTCTAATGTTCTCCGCAGAGCGGAAGCCTAGTTCTTATCCTTTTGTGTGTGTGTGTGTGTGTATGGTGGTCTCCCTTTTAGGGCCAGTATATCCTAACACTTTCAGAGGACATAGTGGATGGACACGAGCGTGCCATGTTGAAGCGGATCCTGCGGATCGACTCCAAGTGTCTGCACTTCACCCCCAAAGACTGGAGCAAGAGGGGAAAGTGGTGAGAGTGGAGTCTGACCACTCAAAGTGAAGAGTGACTTTTGGCAGATCCTCCCGTGCCGGGACAATAAGGGCCAGGGCAGAATGCTCAAGCACTCCTTCAGAGACATTTTTCTGCCAGCCCTGAACCACAGGCAGTGCTGACCAGACCCAGCTGCTCTTGCCTGCCCGTTTGTATATGATTGTATAGCTCAGTTTTGTACAGAAATTCTGAAAGCACAGAACAGTGTATCCTCCCTCCCTCCACCCTTCCACTCTTCCTATGCTGTTACTTGATGGAACGGCGATTTTCTTGCGAAGTGCCAGTGACTGAACTTTGAATCCTGCTTCAGGAGAAAAAAAAGATTCTTAACAGGCTACTTTCCTATAATGCACTGCAGTGGAGCTGCTGCCGCTGCCACCATTTTTCCAGACAGAACTACGCTGCAGCTCCCAGGTAAAAAAACTGTTCTGCTTTGGCACAGGACCTGAAGGTGAACAGCGAGGGCTGCTCTTGCTCCGTGAGCCTCGAAGGCAGAAGCAGCCTGCTGAGACCTTGTTGTAGCACAGCTCTGCGAGTAAGTTTTTGGGGAAAAGCCTCCGCCTTCCACTGCTCTAAAGAAGGAGCATCTACAGCAATGGAGCACCTCTTGGCTGAGGAAAAGGGTTCCTCCGTCACGTCAGCCCAAAACTTCTGTGAAGCAGAGGTGGGAGAGTTCAGAGGGGGACCCCATCCAGCTCCTGTACGCAAAATAAATTAATGAAGTGTTTTAAAGACTGTGTACATTCTCACCTGTGTATGGTTGGTTCTTATGTGATTATAATCATGTGTCTTATAAAACCATAGCTATGGTTAAGGTTTTACAAGGTACAGGCCTAAGGAACGGGAATACAATGAAAGGAGAACATCAAACACATATTGTAGCACATTTAATACAAAATATGTTCATGTAAGCATTTCAGACCATAACCAGAGACAGCTCAGTGTACACCACAGATTAAGCTAAAGTGGCTTATAACGAGTCTGTCATAGCTGTCTTCGAGAAATGTATTTCTGTGAACAGGCAGCAACTGTAACAGCTGTCGTACAGACAGATTTGTCAGTTTAGTCAGAATCCCTTCTGCTCCCAAAGGCATCAGCCTGATGTTGTGTGTATTCAGAATCCAACCCCCCCCCCCCAAAAAGGAAAGCTTTAAAACTATCAGAGGCCAATAAGAAAGCCAAATTCTGCATAACAGTCCATCCAGGGGGAAAAGTCAGACTGATGAGCGTTGAGCAGCTGTCTCATCCAATTTCTGCTGGGCTCCTCCGTCCCCAGCAATCTGAACAACCCAAAATCCTGTGCATCTTCCACAGCACTATATGTGTAGCAAGTTGTCCACCTTATTCTTCATCCGCCACAGGGGCATGGATCTAGAAGGATACATCGACCACACTTTACAGCCACATTCCTATCCCTTGTATGCAGAAACAGCCCTTCCATATGAAATTCAAGCTGCTAGTCCTCAATAAAATCTCTAGTTAACTTAGAAACACCGAGCTGGAAGGGACCTCCAGAGTCAGCCCAACCTCCTGGACAACACAGGAAATTCACAACTACCTCCCCACCACGCCCCAGTGACCCCTGCTGTATGCCCAGACTTACCAGAGAGGAGGCATCCGGGCTAAAAATTGAAAAGCTGAGCACAGGTGTCCCCAATTACATTGCACCTGTGGCACTTTTAGAATTAGAACACAGAGGGTGCTGCCATAAAATAGCTATTGTGGGAGATGGGGCCAATCACAAAATATTGGGAAGTTCCAAGCATCCTCCTACAATGTGGGCATTGTACTTGCTAGGCACAAAATAAGCCCCAGCCTTCTGGGCAGAATTTCAGACAAACCCACACCCTTTTTAAGTTGGTTTTTTTTCTGAAGGGGAGGAGGATATCTAGTAGGGAATCTAAATGTGTAATGGCAAAAAAGGAATGCCTGAACAGAGCAGAGAAATATATATGTAATGGGCCAAAAGAGCAGACTGCCTGTAGATGTGGTGCCTTGAGTGTTGGACTTGGGCCAGGGAGAGCGGGGTTCAAATCTTCACTCAGGTACAAGGCTCAGCAGTCTTTGGGCATGTTGCTGTTCCTTGAAGATGTTGGCTGGAGGACAACTGGGCAGGGGGTAAAACAAATAGGTCTGGATGGTCCAGGCTAGCATCAGCTCATCAGATCTGGGACACTGAGCAGGGTTGGCCACGGTTAGTACTTGGATGGGAGACCGCCCGGAAGTCCAGGATGGCTATGCAGAGGCAGGCAATGGCAAAACCACCTCTGAACCTCTCTTGCCTTGAAAACCCCACGAGGGGTTGCCAATAAGTTGGCTGGGACTTGATGACACTTTGCACCACCAAAAGAGAGAAAATACTTACACTCTCTGCAATCTTTGGCCAGCTGAAGGCCATGAGGATCTCATCACTCTCATTTGGTGCCCGTTCCAGGTTCCACACAGACACTGACTCAAAGGCAGACTTCACCTGCACATTCCGCTCCTGAGAAGAAAAAGAGCACTCAGCCAGGATAAGCAACACCCCTCCATGCACCAGTTCAGAGCAAGTCTCTCCCCCCCCCCCTTACCTCTGATGACAAGTAAGGAGCCACTTCCTCTAGTACCAGTCCCAAGTAACCCTTGGGAACAAGGACTTGTTTCCCCTTTAGCATCCGGCCACGGAAAGACACAGTTGACTCTGCAGGGAAAAGACACCAAAAATTACAGGACCTGCTGTACTGAAAAAAGGCCACTCCTTTAATGTTCATTGTTCACTTGTCTTGTTTTTAAAATGTATATGCTGTGCTCTTAGTCAAATTGACTCATGAGGCATCTACCAAGTTACCCAATAAAGCCATCAATTAAAAAAACAAAGTTTGAGTCCAGTGGCACCTTTAAGACCAAGTTTTATTCTAGATATAAGGTTTTATTCTAGCTATAAGCTATAAGGATGTTATCTGAAGAAGTGTGCGTGCACACGAAAGTTTATACCCAGAATAAACTTTGTTAGTCTTAAAGGTGCCACTGGACTCAAACTTGGTTCTGCTGCTTCAGATCAACACGGCTACCCACCTCAGTAAAAATTAGTCACAACCTTTGGTTTGCCTTAGCACATCTGCAGTATTTCAGGATCCCTTTTCCATCCAAGGCATCTATGCAACCAAAAAGGTTAAAGCCAAGTAACTGAAAGGAGTTAAATGCAAGGCAGGAAAGAGCCCTGGAGTAATCAGGGACTCTGAGGTCTTGTTATAGCAGACCTGCTCAAATTGGTGAAAAAAAATGCTGATACAAGTAGATCTTTTTGCAAATCTATAGCAGGCAGGTGAAGCATTAAAAGAAGCACAAAAAAAAGGAATTTGTTGGAAGGAGAGACTGGTTGGAAAGTAACACTTGGGAAGAAACAATACTAGAATAATACTATGGCACAGATTCAAGACAAGCAAAAGGAAGAACTACTTCAAACAATGGTTGGTTTGTGGAACTCACTGCCACAAGATTTAGCAATGACCATTGCCTTAGAAGGATTTCAAAGGGGGTCAAGCTAATGCCCAAAGATAGCTGAATGGGACCTTTGGATACAGAGGCAGAACGCTTCTGCCTGTCAGATGCTGCTGTGCAGTCAGCAAGTGAAAGCTATCTGGCCACTGCTGGAAACAAGTTGCTAGACTAGACAAACCACGGGTCTGACCCAGCACTGCCCCCCTCTTATGTTCTTAAGAACATGTGTTCTGCTTCTAGAAGAGGGCAGACATCAAATACAGAGGAAAGAGAGAAGCCGCTAGGGGAGAAGGCAGCTCAGCAGCACGCCCATTTCAGCCTTGCGCTCTCCCGCCCTCTCCCGGCCACCCAGCCTCCTTTAGCAATCTTCGCCCACCGTCGCCCGGCTCCGGCTGCTGCGGGCCACGAATGGCCGGCGCGAAGTAGCGCTGGACTGGAGCGCCGCCGTCGTGCTGGACGACGCAGGGCAGGAGATGCAGCCGCTCGTGCGATGCCTCCGAGCCCTGCAGCGAGCCCAGCGCCAGCCGCACCGGAGAGCGATCCCCCGCAGCCATCGGCAACCAGCCTTGCTTTCCCGCGCCGCTACCGCCTATCGCCGCCCTGCCCAGGCGTCCGGAAAAGAAGCAAGTCCGTCCCCCCGGGGAGGCGGAGCGAGCCGCTGACTTCCAAAGAAGCGAAACCGATTGCGGTGGACCCGAGTGCCCAAACGAGCGCGCCCTGTCCGGCGAGTCTTTCCTCAGCAGTCACCCCCGCCCGGTGCAGTGGGGCTGACTGACTCCCGGGGAAGGGCGCAGTGGGGCAGAGCTTCGGTTCTTCTACGTGCCCGTGCGTGGAAGAAAGGCGGCCGGCCTGACGTCTGAGTAAACCTGAGCTACGAGCCGCTGTGCGCACCGCCCTGAGACTAGACGTACTTCCGTTTAAGCAGGCCTACAAGTAAATTTGCCCTGAAGCCAAGAGAATTTATTCTCACCGAAGCGCCTATAGGGGTCCAGCTCTTGTTCATTTAGGGCCGCTACACTAAATATGTTTACTCAGGAGGAGTAAATCATCCCGATGAATCTTGCTTCCTCTGAGTGCAAATGCATAGGTCTAGGATGTATGGATGGGGTTTAAGCAGAAACAAACTTATTTTTAATGGCTCTAATTGGTTTTATAATGTATTTAATTGTTTTGCTGTAAATCGCCCTGACCCCCATGTAAGCAGGGAAGGGTGGTTAAATCTAATGAAATAAAGTTTCAGTGAAACTTCTCAGGCCTAAAAGCATATGGAGAGGTTAAAATGTGGAATTTGCTGCCAGAGGGTGTAGTGATGACCACAGGAATAAACAGCTTTAAAGGGGGATTAGATAGATACATGGAGGATAGGTCTATTAGTGGCTGCTAGCCATGGCGACTGAGGGGAACCTCCATGTTCAGAGGCACTTCTGAATCCCAGAGCGAGGGGAGGGCCTGGATCTCTATGCCCTGTTGTTGGCCCTCCAGAGGAACTGGTTGGTTGCTGTGTGAGACGAAATGCTGGACTAGATGGACCACAGGTATGACCCAGCAGGGCTCTTCTTATGTTCTTATGGAGGTCAATGGAGACATACATACCGTAGAAGTCAGAAAAACTGAGTGTGGGCCATTCGTACTGAGCATGCCCAACAGTAGCAACTGAATCTTCCCCTACAATTTGGGCTTCACTAAAAAGCAAATTTGCCTATCTGTTTTAAAAGCAAGGAAGAGGGGGAAATCAACTGTAGACCAAAATAGGGCTACCAGCCAGTCATCATTTTAACTTGTTGGCCCGCTGTTAATAGAGAAGATTGAAAGGTAAAGAAAGAAAACTTCCAGCTGAGTGCTACTTCCCATTAATGTTCAGTGCATGGTGCTATAGCACATGCTTGTTCACTGAAGCACCACAGACAGTGGAAGGAGGAAACTAAAGCTGCCTTGATAATGTGGTGTGTGTTGCAACCATTCTGGGCCGTGAATGCAAACACAGGGTACTGGCACACAGAAGTCTGCCCTAGTAGTGTCGCCAATCTCCAGGGGGTGGCTGCAGATCTGGGACTACAACATCTCCAGGCTGTAGAGATCAGTCCCCCTGGATAAAATGGCTGCTTTGGAAGGTGGACTGGACTCTTTGGCATTATGCTCCATTGAAGTCCCTCCCCTTCCCAACCCTGACCTCCTCAGGCTCCAATCACCAGTTATTTCCCAATGCAGCTTAACAGGACCATGAAGGCTACTAGCATTTTGCAGAGTGGCAGAGGACCGAGATACGTTCTGGGGGCTCTCAAATACCCCAAGGCCTTTCAGCCATGGGGGAGGCAAACCAACCAACCAGCCCTGCTATAGAGGCTAATAGTGCAATTTTAAACACAGTCGCACCTTTCGACGTCTGTTCAGGTCAGTGGTCTTAAAGGATGTAACTCTGCTTAGCACAGCAGACCTCTCTCACTCATTCAAGAGTCCGCTTACCATCTCAGCCCTGCAGCATCTGCAGAACCGCTCACTGCAATGCTCTCTTCCCCTTCTGCACATGCTTAGAGACCCTCTTCCCCTGACATCTTTAAAGGGCTTCAACCCACAGAGGATTGTGCTGCATGAGATCCACTGAGAGCTGTTATAGGCGTTATGACGTTCCAAAGCACACTGATTGCTTGCAAGTTCTGCTTGCAGTACAGTGTCCTGTTATTTAAGGGGGAAGTGCCCAGTGCTGCTGGCCCTGTGAGACATTACAATCCTGGTGCATCAACTGAGCTCCAAAATATGGGCTTAGCCATTCCGTACAACCTCACCAGAAGCTCTATACTATGCACTATCAGTATGCACAGGATTCTACTGGGCCCTCTTACATCAACAGGGGTACAAGTCTTCAGACTGCACAGACCTCTTCGATGGAAAGGCGTGGATGGAGAAGGACTGGCAAGTCAGTTCCTGTCATGACTCCGGGGTCCATCAAGCCCTTGTTTTTATGCAAAATTCAACTGCTGCAGAAAACCCAGGACAATGTACTGCCAGAGGGACTCCCAAGAGACACGATATAATGTAGAACCAAGTGCCAGATTAAGATGAGAGGCAGCTTCAGCGTGCAGCTCAGTATCAATCCCTTTAAAGGTTTTTGCCCTGTTGAACACATGTAGATACCTTATGCTTGAATCAGACCATCAGGGTGAATACTGTCTACTCAGACCAGCAGCAGCTCCCCAAGGTCAAAGGCCTTTCACCATCTGCTTCTTAATCCTTTTAACTAGAGACGCCAGCTGTTGAACCTGGGAACTTCTGCATGCTAAGCAGATGCCCTACCGTTGAGCCAAGGCCCTTCTTCTCCCTATTAAGAAGAAGAATAAGAGGAGATTGGATTTATCCCCCACCCTTCACTACCCAAAGGTGTCTCAGAGCGACTTACAAACTCCTTTCCCTTCCCCTCCCCACAAGAGACACCCTGTGAGGTAGATGGGGCTGAGAGAGCTCTGACAGAAACGGCTCTTTTTCAAGAACAGTTCTTATCAGAACCATGGTTTGCCCAAGGTCATCCAGTCAGGTGCAAGTGGAGGAGTGGGGAATCAAACCCGGCTCTCCCAGATTAGAGTCCGCACACTTAACCACTACACCAAACTGGTTTAAAACATGCATGGTAAAAATCCATTTCTTTTATACAAACATAAATAGGAAGCTGCCTGATGCTGAGTCAGAAAAGATAGAGCCACAGGAACTGTGTAAAGTGCGCTCAATGTTTCTTTAACGATAGCAATAATGTTATAAATATGAAAATTACAAAAGTGATACTAATACATTTCAAACTGTAAATCCAGTTACATGAGATAGAAGATAACGACGGCGGGACGGTGGTCTCCGGAATGCGGTGCCGTTTCGACAAACTTCTTCTTCTGACCAAGAATCTATGAGTAGATGATGTGTGGAAAACTGCACTTCAGTAGAAAAGCTACCCGATTCACATGGAGTTCAATAACACTTTCACCTATTTCGTTGCACAAGTAATGGAGAAAATTTCTCTCAGACGAAATAAAGCTTATAAATAAATAAAGCTGAGTCAGACCATTGATCCACATCTTATTATGTGGATTTATATAGAGTCATCAGTCTGCATGGATTACAAGGTGATGGGTCCCTGCCCTGAGCAGTTTACAGTCTAAAATTTGGAGAGCGGTAAAGGTGAGGGAAAAAGCTATTAAGGTGTGTTTTGAAGAATGATTTGAAAGCAGAGAGAGAGGTAGTATCCCATAATTATTGTGAGAGGCCATTCTGGGCACCAGGAGCACCAAGGGAGAGGGGGCGGGGTTGTCTGAGGGAATGGAAGACCTTCAAGTGGTGAAGCTGAAAAGCAAAGTTGCAGAGCAGGGAAGAAGAGTTGGATTTATACCCTGCCCTTCACTCGGAGTCTCAGAGCGGTTTACAATCTCCTTCCTCTCCCCAAAACAGACGCCCTGTGAGCAGTGTTCCCTCTTAAGCTGAGCTAGTGTGAGCTACCTCACAGTTTTTTAGCCTCTAGCTCAAAGATTTTTGTCTTAGGAAGGATGGCTCCAGAGCAAACTAATTTATGCAATAGCCAAATCGCTCGCTCACAACTTTAATGCCAGTAGCTCACAAAGTAGAATTTTTGCTCACAAGACTCCACAGCTTACAGGGAGCATTGCCTGTGAGGTAGGTGGGGCTGAGAGAGCTCTGAGAAAACTGCTCTTGAGAGAACTGTGACTGACCCAAGGTTACCCAGCTGGCTGCACATGGGGGGAATGGGGAATCAAACCTTGTTCTCCAGATTGGAGTCCGCAGCTCTTAATACTGAGTAAAAGAAATTAGAAGACAGGGACAAGGCCATGGGGCGCTTCGTATGTAAGGACAAGGAATCCACCCTGGACCTGGGAGCAAACAGGAAGTTCTTTTAACTGGGGATTGAACCTGGGATCTTTGGCAAGCAAAGCAGCTTGTCTACCACTGAGCCCCTTGCAAAAGAGAGACTGTCGTTGGGAGCAGTGAACATAAGAAGATACCTTTTACCAGGTCAGGCTATTGTTCCATCCAGCTCGGTACTGTGTACTCTGACTGGCAGCAACTATCAGAATCTTAGGTAGAGAAAGGCCTTTCCCAATAGCTGCTGCCCAAGGATTATTGAACTGGAGAGGTCCCTGAGGACTGACCCTGGCACAGGAACAGGTTGATTTATATCCCGCCCTTCACTCAGAGTCTCAGAGCAGCTTACAATCTCCTTCCCTTCCTCTCCCCACAACAGACACCCTGTGAGGTAGGTGGGGCTGAGAGAATTCTGAGAGAACTGCTCTTGAGAAAAGAGTTTTCAGGGAACTCTGACTGACACAAGGTCACCCAGCAGCTGCATGTGGAGAACTGGGGAATCAAACTCAGTTCTCCCAAATTAGAGTCCATGCTCTTAACCACTACACCAAGCAGGAAGCCCTGAGCTAAGTCCCCCCCCCAAAAAAAATATAAAGCTGCCTTATCCCAAATTGAGACCACTGAATTGCATAGCCCAATATGGTCAGTACACCCTGTGGCATCCTTGCTTATAGGGGAAATGGTTTTACCTTTAAACACTCTCTGTGTATATAAACTTGGTAGTTTTCTGCTGCCACCAGGAATTAAAAATTCCAATTCTCTCTCTTTTGGTAGTATGACCTATGGTCTGGGCACTTCAGAGGACTACGTGGTCCTAAGGAAGTACTGTACTGATTTCTGGGATAAGTTTAAACAAAAATTGATTTATTTAATAAAGAACAAAATAGGTTTCTGGTTATTTTGAACAGTTGCTGAAGAAAGGAACTTGTAAATATAACTGGCAAAGCTTGGTGCTATGAACAGTCTCTCAAACTTCAAACTCCACTCTGACAGACTTATACACTCATATATATAGCCACACAGACTAGTCTCTTTGTTTTATTCACACTGAATAGAATCAACTCTCTTAGTCACACAGACTAAACTGTTGAGTCTTATTCACACAGAATTAAACTTAGAATTCCATAGTCAAGCTTCACACACAGAAACCTTCATAATTCTCAGTCACACAGACTCTTCAAAATTCTTCCATACTTGTCTCTCTCATATCACAGAATCTCCTCATAGACACACACACAGAATCCTCTCAAACACCCCTCCTCCCACACTCTCAGTCAGGAGCCAATCAAATCACACTTGTCACCCTCTATCACTCTTCTCATATTACTTCATTCAAACTAAACATTTAAAGGAACACCCCCCCAAAAAATATGGAAACATTACACACACACCCAAGGTCTCGGGTACAGAAAGGATTTCCCCAGTCTCTGCTACCTGACATTCTTTTTAAAGTGAAAATGCCAGAAACGGAACCTGAGCCTTTCTACATTAAATAATGCATTGGGAGCATCTGACCCTCCCAAAGTCCAAGGCCCCAAAGCTTAAAATAGCATTCCTGGTACAGTTTAGCTTGCCAGGAACTCCTATGTAGATTTCTGGGAGAAGCCTGGAAAGCACTACAAATTAGACACGGCACACGTGGGATGATTATCTCTGTACCGTTACAGGCAGTGTTCCCTCTAAGCTGAGTTAGTGTGAGCTAGCTCACAGTTTGTTAGCCTCCGGCTCACACATTTTTGTCTTAGCTCAGGAAGGATGGCTCCAGAGCAGACTAATTTATGCAGCAGCCAAACTGCTTGCTCACAGCTTTAATGCCAGTAGCTCACAAAGTAGACTTTTTGCTCACAAGACTCCACAGCTTAGAGGAAGCATTGGTTACAGGCCTTCTTTCCTCTTTAGGGAAACTGTAGAGAAAAGATTGTTGACACTTTAGGTGAGCGGCGCTACGGCCACCACATCCCTTGCCCAACGCTTGGGGATGTTCAGCCTCCGCAGTCCCGTTTCCAACACTCCACCTCACCCAGTACCAAACTTCCCTTTCCCCATCCAACTTACATGGCAGCTGACTTGCAAAAAGATTTTTATTTTTTGTTAGAACCATTTTTTACAGACCCACATCCCAACCGGAGTTCAGCCAACAGCCCCCCACCTCCCCCTCCCCCTGCCTCCACCAGACCCAGCAAGTAGCTGTTCAGGGAAGGCAGAAGCTTCCAGTTGTCCGTTCGGATGCTCACTCGGGCGGCGTCTTTCACGTGCTGCACTCGCAGCAGGATGTGGTACTGCGGCGGCAGAGCCATGCCGATTTCGTACGAGCCCAGCTGTTCAGCTAGAATGTACCTGGCGAAATGATCCTGCACCAATTGCCCCAGGGATTGAGGGGCCACAGGCCAGCAGGTGAGGCTTTCAGCACAAGTCCCGTTGCTGTCCGGGTGAAGCTGGTGCCAAAGAGCACCAAAGAGTTGGCGTCGCTTCTCAGGGGGCCAGGCAGGCAGCGTCAGGGGCAAGAAGAGATCGGGGAAAGCTACTTCCAACGGCTCCAGCTGGCCGCAGTGGGTAAGGCCCTTCTGCGTTGTATACACAGCAAAGACGTTGACACGCGTGGGGTAGGGACAACGTGGCTGCAGCGTCAGGGTCACAGTCTGGGGTGGGTGGCCTGCCGAGAGGCAGGGCACACACAGTTCTGGCATGGCCTCATAATGCCGGTCAGAGCACGCGAAACGCAGCACCACACAGAGCAGGAGGTCGCTGGGGGGACCCGCGTGGACCAGCCGGTACGTCAAATTCAGCTGCGAGGGGGGCCGCACCTCCAGCAACCACCGGCAATAGCTGTCCACGTCTTCCTCCGAGTGGGGGGCCGGAGGCACTTCACTGCCATGCCCTACCCTCTCCAACCGCATGGGGGCTCGCTCAGCCGGGTGCACCGTCAGGGAAGCCACAAAGCTCTCGCTATCGGCCACAAAGGAGGAGGAGAGCGTCCGGGCCTTGACGGGGCCCTGTGGGGCCAGCACAGCCCCGAGTTTCTCATCGGAGAGGCTGGCCAGCAGGGTATAGTAGAACCGAGCCCGGTCTCGGACGTCGACATCCACGTGGCAGAGGGAGATGGCCTGCAGGAGGTCGGCCAGCTGGTACGGAGCAGGCAGCGGCTGGAGTTGCATCAAATTGCGGCAGACGCTCAGGAGGATTTGTCCCGAGCGCCAGTCGCCTAGCTGGTCCAAGGCCACCAAGCGTCTCAGGAACTGCATGGTGCTCCTCTGGGGGATGTCCTTCTCCTTTGCCAACCTGGCCAAGACTTTGAGATGCCAGCTCAGCTCCTTCTCTTGTGAGGGTAACCCCACAATCAGCTCTTGCAAGGCGTGAGCCAATGAACCGGCCCACCCAGGCTCCTCCGGCACCGCCCACGCTTCATCCAAGAGGTTGATAACATTTGGCGCCAGAGCACAGTTCTGACGATAGAGATCCAAGAGGCAGCGGGTCAGCTCGGCCATGGGCTGCGCCCGGGAGCCAAAGTACCGGGAAAAAAGGAACGCTGCTCGGAAAAAGAGCCGGGAGGCCTCCTGCCCACCTTTCCCGGCCACCAGTCCCCCAAGAGCAAGCACGTGCTCCAAGAGGTAGCCCACCCCTTGTTCGGCAGCAGGCCCCTCACTCTCCATGCACACCAGGCACAGCAAGTTCAGCCGGGCCAAGATGGTGCCCTGATCCTGGAAGAGCCCGGGGAAAAGGCCGGAAATTGTGTGAGGCGTGAGCAAAACTGGCAGGCCCTCCTCCGTGCCCGAGCCCAGCGGCCGGTTCTCAGGGAAATGCAAGAGGCAATCCAGATGGAAAAGTTTCACCGGAGTGGGCAAGGCCGGGTGCTGGGCCATGCCCACCAGGCGGCGAAGCAAGAAAGCCTCATCTTCGGCAGTGAAGAGGCTGTCCGTGAAGAGGGACTTGAGTTGCAGGATAGCGTGCAGCAGCGCCACGTCGGCTGTGCCAAAGAGGCGCACCAGCTGGGCTTTGAAGATGGCGGGAGACTCACGGCTTGGGCCAAGTACCACAGGAGGTGGCTTTGAGCGGCGGGGGACAGAAGATAAGAGCTGTCCAACAGAGCCGAGACCACCGACTTCAGCTCCTTGAGGTCCCCGGAGGAGGGCATCAGGAGCAGCTGGTCGATAGTCGCCAAGGAGAGGTCACCCAGCTCCTTCGTAGCCCCCCAGACCAGACCCTCGCTGCCGGCCAGAAGCTCCCCCAGGGTTCCCTGCCCACCCCGTGCAAGTAGCAAGATGGCGTTCCGCAGAGCCAAGCTATAGAGCAAGGTGTAACCCTGATGGGCCAGGGAGGCTTCCTGCTGCTGCAAGGAACGCAGGGTCTCCAAGCGCCGCGACAGCAAGCCAGGGTGGCAACACTCCACCTCTCTCAGGCACTCACAAGCGGCCACCCGTACGGGCCTTTCAGCAGACCCCCCATGCCGGTCGTTGAGGTCCGAAGCCAGGTGGAACAGCAGGGAGAGGTACTCGTGGGCGGTCGGGCAGCCCTCGCTGAAGGCCTCCGTGGCCAGCAGCACAGTCCCCATTGCAAAGAGCAGGTGGCAACGCAGAGACAGCACTTTGGGCGAGGAACCCAGCTGGGCAAAAAGGGACAGCAAGGATGCCGTGGCTTCTTGCCCAACCTTGGCATCTGGGCACAACAGCGTGGGATATTCCAAGAGGAGCGACAACATGGAGACCTGCAAGAGGGAAATATAGCTGCTGTCAGGGAGAGCCAGCCAGAGGGCACTGGGGAGCTGATGAGCCAGGTCCGGTTTCCCTTAACGCCTGCCCTGCTAGGTTCCACCTCCACTCCTGCACAACCCCTCCCCACACTGTGACTTCCCAAAAACTGGATTGGCTATCTTCAGATATTAATCTCAAATCCATTATTGTTTATTTTACAACAGGGTTTTTCTTTCAAGGCAGCATGTCTTAAAAACACAAAACCAGGCTAAGCCTTTTAGAAAATTTATTTATTTATTTATCCATTCACTTTATACCCCACCCTCCCCGCGAACGGGCTCAGGGCGGCTTACAGCAGTGGCCCACTTGCCAATAAAACCCAATAAAATTTCAAATCAGCTGGAGAAACCCCAGGCCACAAACTGACTTGTGTCAAAGTGAGATTGGCTTTGACAAGGAGCAGGTCCCTCTCAGCTGTGCAATCAATGGATAACTGCAGTGCAATCCTAAGAAGGCTTTCCTGGGAGTAAGTCCCACAGTGAACACACCTGAGTAGGATTCTGGGCAGACCTGCTTCAGATGGCGCTCTTTGATCAGCACCCTCTCAGATGGCTAAACACACACAAGGCTCCGATGCAACATATCACACTGACTCAGCTGCCCCTTTGTGGCTGGAGACGCCCTATTTTATTTATTTATTAAATTTATACCCTGCCCTACCCCGCAAGCCGGCTCAGGGCGGCTTACATAATTTCTCTGCTCCCTTGGGTTTGATATTGTTTATATTTTATAGTGATCGTTTTCAATTGTTATTATCTGGGTTTTTAAAAAAAGAATTCTCAGTGAGTTTTAAAAAAGCATTGTAAGATTGTCTTTGAATATTAACTACTGACTCCTGTTATATCTATATGTTCTGATGGAAAACAAGTCCAGTAATTTGCCTTGTGTTATAATATTTGAAAAATTAATAAAAATTTATTTTAAAAAAACATTGTAAGCAACTCTGGAATCTCAAATGAAAAGCGGAACAAACGGTTTTACAAATAAACATCAATGCTATTTCTATAAATAAATTATTTAAAGCAGAACTTACAATTAATTTTTTTAGCTGTCACCCATTGTATAGTAGAAGCAGTAGTGAGAATATTTTCTGGTGAGAAGAACTGGACTCTGATCAAATTTTGATTCTGGTTCACCATTTATATACCAATGAAAGCTTGTGGTTCTAACCTTTAAACAGGCACTTTCCTGCTTATGATTGTTACTGAGTTTTAGCATCATCCGTTATTCCCATTTCACAGAGTGGGAGATTGAGGGGAGGGCACTGACAGAAGACCTTGCCTGAACATCTCCCAAATCAAAATCCAGTTTTCTAGTCACAAGGTCAAACTTATTCTCAGACTTTTCTGGGATATGCATTCACAGAATCCAACATTTTTTTAAAAACAGAAGACTTACAATAATGAATTATTTGAGTTTAGGTTTTGGGGGCCCCACATGCTTAGCTACAAAGATGGAATAGGTATCAAGCATACTTGGGTATCAAATACTCTACAAAGTTTAGTGTAGATCAAGATGGGAAGCTGTGTTAGTCTGTCTGTAGCAGTAGAAAAGAGCAAGAGTCCAGTAGCACCGTAAAGACTAACAAAATGTGTGGCAGGGGAGGAGCTATGTGACAGAATCCTGAGGGGACGGAGAAGAGTGTACAGATTACAGGGGACACACCCTTTCTGAATGCTCCCTCATGTAAAAGACTCCCTGCAAGTAAAAAAAAAATAATAATAATAAACTATCACAGCAGGGACAGAGGTTCTAGTCCAGCCTGCTCTGTACCAGTATTTTATTGTGAGAAGTTTTTGTTTACAGATTCAGAAATGTTATTTCCCCTCCACTCCACATTTTGAAGTGGAACAATCCGTTCTACAGCCTCATTTCTAACCTTTCTAAAGAGCCTGGGACATTGTACACGGTTCTCTCCTCCCTCACATTGATTCTCACAACGAACCTATGAGGTAACTCAGAGGGCTGCGAGAGAAAACTGAGAGTGGTAGGCCCAAGGGCATCCGGCTTCATGACTGAGAAAGGGATATAAACCCAAGTAGAGACGTAAAATTCCCAAAAATTTTGAAGCTCGGAAAAACCCAGAATTTTTTGGAAAAATTGGAAAACAAGCTACATTAGCACTTCTTTTTTCTTTTCCAGATTGAAAGTCATTCTGTTACTTTAGGAACATAAAATATGACTATGGACATTGTTACTTGGCATGAAATGATCACAACTAGCATATTAAAAATATAGTGTATCCAAACAATTACAAACAGAATACCCACCCACATGCAAAAACAAAACTGAAACCTTTTTCTTTTCTTGTGACAATAGCAACCTCCTAAAGGAAAAAAATGCATTTTGTTCTTGCATTGGAGAGTTCAGTTTATAATCTAGGACTTGCTTGTCCTCAGTGCACAGAAATTAGATTAATCTGATACTATACATATTTTTTAGAAATGATTTGGAAAATATTTGAACACCTTATCCTAAAATATTTTATTCATCATGTTAAAATAAAACATTCCATAATCAATTTTCTTTTCTTTTTTCAATTTTTCCATTTTTTTGCAAAAAAACAAAAAAGCTTCAGAAAAAACCGGGGGAGGGACTTTTCCCCCTGAATTTTTCCGGTTTTTTCCCAGGCCTTCACATCTCTAAACCCAAGTGCCCCCAAATCATTTTCACCCATGCCAAAGCTACAAGACAATCACTTCTCACATTTCCCAGCTTTTCCATACTTTTCTCAGCACAGACTAGCACCTCTCCACACACACACACACTCGGTCTCTGCACATGCAGCTGCCTGTTGATGAAGAGGCTATTATATGACGGAATGTTCACAAACATTCTTAATAGCTGAGACAGAAAGGTTCCAGTACCACAACAACAACATGGCTGTTGTGAGGGAAGTGCATGGATAGTTTGATTGGGGTAAGAAAAAAATCATTCAGAGACTAAAATGGAGATTGCATTTTAGGGAGACTGGGAAAAGCAAAGTTATGGACAGGAGAGCTAAGAAGGTGATGGAACCTCATACCAGTGGGATGAATTGTCAAGGCAGCATTAGCAGAGGGAACCACCCCCACACCTTCCAATTCCTGTTGTTTTAACAGAGTATGTCTTGCTTTTTCCACAACAATCCTAAACGTACAACTTGGCCCTTCAAGCTGCTGGAGCGAGGGCCATGATCTCACCACACACCCTTCTCTGCATCCACTCTAAAAAGTAATGAGTCTCCCCCTCCATACCTTGATCTGCTCCCCCAGACTTTCATTGTGCAGATCCTGCAACAGTTCAGCTACAAAGGCATCGCTGGCCCCATAGGCAGAGAGGAAGGCTGTGGGGCACAAACGGAAAGAGGCGACAGCGCTGGTCCAGCCCTCTGCATTCCTTGGGCTCATGGTGAAGACAGTAAGACTGCGAAATAGAAACGAAAAGAGGATATTGAAGACATCGACTGATGCTGGATCTTATGCCCTCATCCCCAACGTGCTTTGTAGTGATACTGGGATGGCTCTTTTTATGCCTGAACGTCTCTTGCCTTGAAAACCCTATAGAAGGGATCCCCAACCTTTTTGAGCCTATGGGCACCTTTGGAATTCTGACAGAGTGGTGGACAGACCCACAAAATGGCTGCTTTAGGAGGCGGAGCCAGCCACAAAATGGCTGCTGCATAGGGTTGCCAAATCTTCTTCCCCCCGCGGCGGGGGAGCGTCGCCGCGGTCCGGGAGTCGGGCGGATGTGCGCCGGAAGTGACGGGCGACGTGCTGACGTTGGGGGCGTAGCTGAGCTTGTCGGAGGGGAAAACCATATGGTTTTCCCCTCCGACCCGCCCCCCGGCCCGATTTGGCAACCCTACTGCTGCAGCTTACCTTCAGTCACACAGTGAAGATCCTTGTGCTGTGGAGACAGCTGCTGCCAAAGCAATATTTTTACACCCAATCAAATTTCCAATGGCCAATCAGAAGTCTTGCTGGGCAAAAGCCCCACCCAGCCCTGCCTGCTTTCTGAAAACACTTGGTGGGCACCAGGAAAGATGTTGGTGGGCACCATGGAATCCACAGGCCCTGCTTTAGGGACCCTTGTCCTATGTGGTTGGCTGCAACTTGATGGCACTTTCCACCCGCCACCTCCCACATTTCTATCTTACCCTGCTTTAGCAGCCCTTAATAGATAGCAATGTATTATTTGGGGGGACTGTGGAACCACTCCAGTGAGGTAGGCATTGTCTTGACAGCCAACATGAGGCAGTGGTTAGAGTCTCAGACCAGGAACCAGGACAACCAGGTTCAAACCTTCACTCTCCCATGGAAGCTCTCTGGGTGACACTGGGCCTGTCACAATCTCTCAGCCTAACCTACCTTACAAGAAGAAGAAGAAGAAGAAGAGACTGCATTTATACCCCGCCCTTCACTCCCCAAAGGTGTCTCAGAGTGGCTTACAAACCCCTTTCCCTTCCCCTCCCCACAACAGACACCCTGTGAGGGAGGTGGGGCTGAGAGAGCTCTTGACAGAAACGGTTCTTTTTCAAGAACAGCTCTTATCAGAACTACGGCTTGCCCAAGGTCATCCAGCCAGGTGCAAGTGGAGGAGTGGGGAATCAAACCCGGTTCTCCCAGATTAGAGTCCACACACTTAACCACTACACCGAACTGGCTCTCACACCAAACTGGTTACAAGGTGGTTGTTGTGAAGATACGGTGGAGGAGGGGAGAATAACGTAATAGACCGCTCTGTATTCCATTTAGGGAGAAAAGTGGGATATAAGTTATAAAAAATTCTTAGGAGTCCTTAGGAAATTCCCTCATGGAAGACAGCCCAAAACTGAAGCCCCCATGGTCTAACATAATATACCTCTAAGTGCCCATTGCAGAGAATCAAACAACAGGATCTACTTTTAGGACTCCAAGTGACCACCAGTTGGCCATTGCTGGAAACAAGAATGCTGGGGTATTTATTTCGTTTAAATATAAAGGCCCTATCTTAAAAGCAGATTACATTAATAAGAATCAGTTTAAAACACTTCATCAATTATTATCACATGCGTTGCCATAAAATGCAACAGAATGTTAAAAACCAGAAGAACAGCCACAGAAACAAGCCAATAAAAGCACAGGGATGCCAGCCTCCAGGTGGGGCCTGGGGATCTCCCGCTTTTACAACTCATCTCCAGCTGACAGGGATCAGCTCCCCTGTAGAAAATGGCTGCTTTGAAGGGGGGACTCTATGGCATTGTACCATGCTGAGGTCTCTCCCCTCCCCAAACCCCACCCTCTCCTGGATCCACCCCCAAAGTCTCCAGGTATTTTCCAAACCAGACCTGGCAAACCTATAAAAGCAGCAGAGTTTGAAAGTAGATCAGTTAAGCATTATGCCGTATTACAGCAACATAAACAAAGGTCAACCCAGAAGCTCACCCCAGCAGAACTGTGTTAAGCAAACTCCAGAAGCCCAAATGGCACCGTGCCTAGCAAGCCTCATTCATTGGACAACCTTGGTGCCACCACCAAGAAGGCACTGCCCCATTAAGGCATCCACCAAACCTCTAAAGACTGTGGAACCACAAACAAAGTCTGTCCAGATGACCTGTGCACAGAGGGACATTCATGCCATAGATTCACACAGTTAAGGGCTTGAATGGGGGAAACCAGCACTTTGAACCGGGCCTGAAAACAAGCTGGGAGCCAACAAAGACACACCCCAATCACATTGTGCAGTAGGCTCAAGATGGACTGTCAGCTGGGTAGCTGCATTTTGATGTGGTTTCCAAGAATATTTCAAAGGCAGCCTCACACAAAGTGTGCTACATTAGTCCAGCCTGGAACTCACCAGGCCATGTCTAACTGTGGCCAGACCAGGCTTCAACAGGAAAGCCAGCAAATATCAGCCTAAGCTGATAAAAGGCACTCTTGGTCACTGCTGTCACCAATTCAGGACAATCAAATACCCCAGGGGCATGCCAGATACCCATCTGATACAGGTTGTGCATAGTTTCCAGGATCATATCTCCTCTGCCCACCTTTGTCTTGTCAGCATTAGGCTTTTTACCCTCATCCAGCCCATTCTGATTTCAGGGACTGGTCTCTTTGGGATCCATTGAAACAGAGAAGTGGAGCAGCACCCACATACTGACAACACCATGCCTCAGACCTCCAGATCAGACCTAGGCAGAGATGCTCCGCTCCATTTTAACAGTATTACCTGCCTACAGAATCTATATAAATCTAGCAGCTGCACACTGCAGCCTCCCTTTGGAGTTCTTTTGCTGGATAAAGGCGGTTTGTAGGTCAGCAAGAGAGTCGGGGCTCTGACTGGGATAGCTGGATCTTGTCAGATCTCAGAAGCTAAGCATCATCGGACCCCGTTAGTATTTGGAGAGGAGACCACCAAGGAGTACCAGGGTTGCTACACGGAGGCAGGCAATGCCAAACCACCTCTGAACGTCTCTTGCCTCAAAAACCACATGAGGTGCCATAAGTCAGCGGCAACTTGACAGCAATTATTTTTTTAAGAGTCAGTTTAGATGGAATAAGTCTGCATAGGATTCCTTCCTCTGCGGGTAGCCTGGATTTACCTCCCCCGCCCCCCGCTGTCCCCACCACCACCAGGGTAATTTTAATTTTGTTGGTTTCAGAAGGATATTTTCAGTACTGTTTTATTGTTGTGATCTGCTTAAACTGTACCCCAGTTATCCGGGAGAAAGGTGGGCTTATATATGCTTCAATATATATGCTTATATATGCTGAGAGCCAGTTTGGTGTAGTGGTGAAGTGTGTGGACTCTAATCTGGGAGAACCGGGTTTGATTCCCCACTCCTCCACTCGCAGCTGCTGGATGACCTTGGGCAAGCCATTGTTCTGTCAAGAGCTGTTCTCTCTCAGCCCCACCTACTTCCCAGGTGTCTGTTGTGGGGAGGGGAAGGGAAAGGAGTTTGTAAACAGCGCTGACTCCAAGTGAAGGGTGGGGTATAAATCCAATCTCTTCTTCTTCTCTTCTCTCAAGAACAGTTCTCTCAGAGCTCTCTCCATTCCACCTACCTCACAGGGTGTCTGTTGTGGGAATCCAATCTCTTCTTCTTCTTCTTCAAATAAATAAAGACTGCTCCAATTCAAACGACAGAACCTTGTGGCAACTCATGATTTGACTGGGCATCAGCTTTCATGAGTCAGAGCCCAGACGCTGAACTGGAATTGAATCACAACACGCGATTTCATTTGCAAAACAAAGGCAAGAGATTCGGCCCTCACAGAACTTGATGCATTTAAGCAAGAGGAGTGAGATTGCGTTATCAACAAAGACTCGGATTGCAAAGGGCCTCTCCTTCATCCTATTTAAATTCCACTCGATAACGTCAAGCCTCGAACATCTTGCATCTCACGCTGAGCTATTCACAACTTGGAAATCTATGTTTGCCCAACTGGTCTTTTCCCTGCGATGGCCGGACGGCCTCCTAGCACAAGCAACGGGATGGGCGGGGGGTTCTAGAGGTCCCATAGACGTGCCGGCAGGATTGCCACATACGCACCGTCATGTTCTGGAAAAACGTGTGATGGACGGGGTCGGGGAAGAACTTGGGTCAACCCAAAACGTGAGAATCTTCTGTGCTGAAACGAAAAACAAGGTATTTGGAGTTGTGTAATGAAAGGGGGTGGAATTCTGTTGGGCCTGAGTTCCCGTGCATGGGGCCAGAGAGAAACACAAAACAAACCGGGGCCCGTACCAACCCCACTCCATAGCCCTTGGCGAAAATGCAAGGCATTTCTCCCTGCCCCACGTACCTCCCTACCCGCCCAGTCGCCTCCGGCTTCGACCCCGACTTCCTTTGGCCGCAGCTCAGCTGATCTCCGATCCTTCCTAACAAACCAGCGCTTCCTGCTTCCCTTTGCGACGATTTCAGCGGCCGCCACTAGAGGGACACCGAGCAGCGGGCCAACGTGCCGGTCCTTCCCACACCAGCATCCCGGCCTAAGTCCCAGCGGTGAGTTAATGAAGTGCTGGAGCTCCCGGTTGCCCGAAGCCATTGCCTGCAACGCCTCTTCTCCAAATGGGGGAGGGGGGGGGGGAGAGAAGCGAGGCACCCTGCACGTGCTCTGAGATTATTTGTTTTCGGGGAAAGTGCATACTTTTGAACATATGCCACAGTCTATCCTATTGAATATGGTAAAACAATTTAAACCTACAGTTAAAACAGTGCCAACTGAATCCCTACAAGCCTAGCTGAATTACAGTGCTATCCTAGGATGGCGCTGTAAGGTCTTATCACCTGTCCCCAAAAGAGAGCCCAGAGAAGAACACCAAGAGAAAGTTCCATAACTCCAGACCCTCCACAGGAAAGTCCCTGCTCCAGTCCTAAGACAGACTATAATGTACTGGGTCCGATGCATGAGTTAGTGAATCAGCTCATAGTTTATTAGATAGGCAGGGAACAAGACAAAGTGGCCGGCTCGCAGGCTGGTTTATATTCCCAAGGTAAAACCACACCCCACGCACACCCAACACCCGTGGTAGGTTTATTTACAGTGCTAGCAAACCATAGGTTAACTCTAGGATCCTAGACTCCCGATTGGCAGGGGACTAGGATCCGACCGTCTATTGTCTGTAAGAGCGAAGCTCAAGCTCTTTGCATGACCACGTCTTGCACGCGGTCGGCTAGGACACAACACCCCTCTCCCCAAAGTCCAGAGCACACCGACACACATAGTCCTGTAGATAGGTCAGTGGCCTTCTCACTCGGGAGGAGCAGCGAAGCTCAGGTGTTACTGGAGCCGGGGGCTGTTTGTGGTGCTGTGCCAGTGGTGGAGGCGGCAGTGGTGCGGCTGTTTCCATGCTCTCCCCTGCTGTTGCTGGGCTGTTGGTCTTTCGCTGGGGGCCCTGTCGCTTCCGGGAGCAGCACCGTTAGGGCAGCTTCTTCTGTTGCCTGTGGGGGAGCGTACTCGAAGTCACCCTCCTCTAGATCTATGGGCAGCACTTGGGGGCACAGCTAGTCGATGTACCGCCGCCAGAGTTGTCCGTCTTCACACGAGACTTCATACGACAGGGGCCCCGTGTCTGACAACTCTAGCGGGGATCCATACGGGGGCCCGGGCATAGTTCCGGACGTATCCCGGGTCTTTGGGGAAGAACCTCCCCGGGGTGCCACTTGTTCCTCTGGGCCCGTGTCGTGATCCGGGGCCCTGTCCGGATGGAGGCGATCCAGCCTGGTCATTAAGCGCCTGCCCAGCAGGAGCTCGGCTGGGCTGCAGTCGGTCATGCTGTGCGGCGTGGTGCTGGGGGCTAGTTTGTAGTTGCAGTCCCCGGAGTCCATGCACCGCAGCACCTCCTTGGTCATCCTCACCATCCTCTCTGCTTGGCCATTGGTTGCCAGGTGAAACAGGGCCAAGCGGATGTGCTTGATCCCATAGTACTCCGTGAACTCCTTGAACTTGGCCAAGGTGAAAGCCGAGCCATTATCCGTGACCAAGGAGTCGGGAATGCCTTGGGCACTGAATATCTGCCACATGGCCTGGATGGCGGATCGGGAGGAGGTGGAGGGCACTGGGACCACCTCGAGCCATTTGCTGTAAGAGTCTACAAGAATAAAAAACAGCTGGCCTTGGAAGGGGCCCGCAATGTCTAGGTGTAGTCTGACCCAGGGTTTGTGCGACGATTCCCAAGGGTGCACTGGAGTGTGGGGTGGTGCTGGGTGAGTCGCCTGGCACGTCTGGCAGCGTTTCACAGTGTCCTCGATATCTCAGTCAATCCCTGGCCACCACACATCCAGACGACCCTGGGATGTGTTTCGTGGAGGGCGGCAAGAACCCGGTCCTGCAAGGGGGCAGGAATCACCACCCGACCACCTCGCAGTATACACCCCTTGTGACTTGACAGCTTCCGAGAGGCGAACGCCGCAAAGTCTGCCCCCCCAGGCCCATGGGCCACCCCCTCCCCACCCAGTCCAAGACCCGAGTGAGGACGCGATCCCAGCCCGTGAGGCAGGCCACCTCCACCACCTGAACCAGCCTGTCCGGAAGGGCCTCCAGAAGGGCAACGTGATGGGCTGGGGCAGGGGCAGGATCAGAGGAGGGAAGCGGGAGGCGGCTCAGCGTGTTGGCATGGCCCATCGCCTTGCCGGGGCAGTGGACAAGCACATACAAGTACCCAGCCAAGAAAATAGACCAGCTGAGCACCTGGAGCGACAACATGTGCGGGGTCAGGCATTCGGGAGCCAGGAGCCTCAAGAGTGGCTTATGGTCGGTGATGATCGTGAAGGGCCGGCCATACAAATAATTGTGAAATTTCTTGACCCCCACCACAATTGCCAGGCCCTCCTAGTCAATCTGAGTGTAGTTGCGCTCAGCTGGCGACAAGGTCTGTGAATAGTAAACCACCGGGACCTCGTGGCCATCTGCCAAGCGGTGTCCCAGAACCACCCCCACCCCGTAGGGAGAAGCATCATACGCTAACACCACTGGAAGCTTTTCATCGAAATGGGCGAGCACCTCTGTGGCGATTCCTTGTTTTATATGTGTGTGTGTCTCTTTAAAAGTTTGGTTGCATGGTAAATAGACTAGAATGGTTGAAAGAGGCAAGTGTGATGTGACTGGTGATTGACAGAGAGGGGGAGGGGTTTTGGAAGTGGTTCCGAGTGGATGAATATGTATGTCTGTCGGGAGTGACAGTTACAGGTTTGACAGTTGATAAAGACAGTTGATAGTTCGTTCTGAGGTCTGTGTGAGAAGCAGTCTTGTGTGTGATATAAGAGTTAAGTTCTATGTATGAAGGAAAGTGACAAGCAGTTCTGTGTTGTGGCAGATAAAAAAGGAACAACTGCAGTTGTTCACCAAAAAGGGAGAGAGAAAACAGAAAAGTTGAATGTCTAGGAAACAGTAAAGAGTTACAAAGTTACCTGAAAGATCCCTGTCAGTAAGGGAGCAGATCTTGTGTGACACACCAAGCAATTGTTGAAAATATTCACATTACTGGTTACATTGTTCTACCCTTTTATTTATGAATTATTTCAATAAATCCTCTTTTATTTAAGTATACCAGCTCGGAAAGAAATACTTCCTCAGTACCACATAGTTCCCCATAAGCCTTACACTCGACCTACCTACCCAGTAATAGCAAAAGTAAAGTATAAAGGTTTGGAAAGCCTTAAATTTCCTGGTGGCAGCCAGATATACCCTAGTAGAACAAAATAAAGAACACTTTTAAAGGGAAACCAGTCCTCCCCAGATAAGGGGTCGTCACAACCGCATTCGAAGTCAAGAGTCCTTTAACCGCCCTGAAAGCGGTGTTGTGTGTGGCGTCCCAAATCCAAGGGGCGCACTTGTCCAGCAAACTGTAGAGCGGCTCCGCCACCACCACCTTGTGAGGTAAGAAAGAATGATAAAAGATCAGCAGGCCTAAGAAGGCCTGCAGCTCAGACTTTGAAGTGGGGGCGGGCGCCTGGACAATGGTGCAAATCTTCTCATCCGTAGGATGGATGCCCTGGGCGTCGACAGCAAAACCCAAGAATTCCACCTGCGGGACCCCAAGGAGGCACTTTCCCCTCTTGACCCAGAGACCGGCAGAATCGAACCGCTGCAGCACCGCCCGGAGCCGGCTGGCTAAGGTCTCAGTGTCCGGTGCCGCAATCGAGACATCATTTAGAAAGGGCTGGACTCCAGGAATGACATTCAAGAGAGAATCCATAAAACTCTGAAAAACCCCAGGCGCCACGCTCACCCCAAACTGTAACCTGTGCACCTTAAACGCCCCCTTGTGGGTGACTATCGTCTGTGCCCCTGTCGAAGCCATGTCCACCGGCAGCTGCTGATAGGCCTGGGCCAAGTCCAGCTTCCCAAAGATCTTCGCCCTCGCTAGGATGGCCAAGACATGGGCAACCACCGGCACAGGGTAAGCATGTGCCTGAAGTGCCTTATTGAGGGTGCACTTATAGTCAGCACAGATCTGCACGTCCCCATTGGGCTTAACCGGGGTCACAATTGGTATTTCCCACCTTGTATGGGCGACTGGTTCCAGCACCCCCTGCCCGAGGTGCTCCAGCTCCGCCTCGATCTTCGGCTTCATTGCCAAAGGCGGGTGACGGGCCTTCAGGCGGATAGGCCACACTGCCGGATCGAGGTTGAATGTGACGGGGGGACCGGAGTAGCGGCCAAGCGAGCCATCAAAAACCCTGGGGAACTCATCGCAAATCGTGGTGAAGTTATGTGCCGTGACCCGGTGCACCCTCGTTACCTCAAACCCCAGTGGCCCAAACCAGGAAAGTCCCATCAAACGTGTGACCCTACCCTCCACCACCAGAAAGTCAAGGAGCCCCTTGAAATCCTTATGTTTCACCCTGAACTTGCCCCAGCCCTTAATGGCCACTGGTTCTTTTAAAAGTCCCATAGCAACAGTCCCTGGGGCTTCTGCAGGCGGGGTCCCGCATTAGGGCAAAGCCAACGGAGGGTGTCCACAGAAATAACAGAAAAGGACGACCCAGTGTCTAGTTCCATACGGCATGGGGACCCCTCAATGAGCACCGTAGTGTGCAACTTATTAGGGCTGTCAGGGGGCAAGTTCAGTACCTGGTGGTGGTGGGCCGACAGGGTGTGAAGATCTGATGACTCCTGATGGACCGATGTCGTCTTGCGGTCTCCTCGGGACCGGCAGACCTGAGTGATGTGCTCCTGCTTCCCACAGGAGCGTCAGACGGCGTCCCTCAGGCGGCAGGTCCAGCATTCGTGCTCCTCACCACAGCTGGCACAGGATGCAGTGGTCTTCTCGGAAGTTGGGGCTGTTGAAGCTTGGGAGCATGGGGCGCAGTGAGAGGGCTGGAGAACTTCCTCCTCGTCGGAGACATCGGGGCTCCGGGTCACCGTGGTGTGGTGAATTGC